GTGATTGTCATGCTTTATTCCATTGATTATACTCTCATATTTTCATCATTAAAATTGGTAAGTGTTTTGTTGTTTCCTATTTGTTTCTTGTTAAATAACCTTTTTGGAGCTATTTCAACAAAATATTGTTTGTATTTATACTTTGCATGGGTATTTTTGCTTTCATTTCATCTTCGTGTATTTCACTTAAATTTACTATTGGTTGTTTGATTGTAGTTGGGTTATTATTGGTCTAAAAGCACAAAAGACACGTGTAATTATAGATGTGTAAACGTGGTGTATTTACTTTAATCATAAAGTCTGCATAGGTGTCGAATAGAGTTTCAACGTTTACTTACAACTTTAGACAAAGTTAAGTAACTTTCACACTTACTGTCATGTTATGCCACATTATTGGCTACCTATTGTACTGTACAGCTTTTAAAGTAAGAAAATTTTGCTACAACCTCATTAATATGTAAATTTTCTAGTTTTAGTGTAGGTATATTACATATTTCGATTATAGCCTGGAAAAATATTACCAAGGAATAAGAATGATTTAGATTTTAAACTTGTTATATTGTTTAAATTGTAATCAAGTCCCCTAAATCCTTGTTATTGTTCAAAGCCTTCATAAATACATCATTCAGATTATTTTATTTCTCGTCATCTACTTGTACAAAAAACCTTAACCTCTCACCTCTAGCCGATCGTCAAAAATAAGGGGTTTTAAGTCCCACCTTCACATCCTAGAACGGACTCTAGCTCAGGATCGTTTTTCATTTTTAGTGACTTAGTTGAAATCCATTAGTGATTGTCAGGATTTGAACCGGATACCTCCAGGACCAAAGTCCCGCGCTCTACCACCTAAAACAATATTCTATTGTTTTCGCCCATTTCCACTTGTAAAGCCAAGAGACACCGGCTTAGTGATTCCTAATCAAGACTAAGGGGGGGACGCGCCTTACATAATTCATATCAACTCTTATCACACTCGAAATCCTTTCCTGTGACGGGATTTAAGCCAACAATAAAGCTCTTGTTGATTACGAGGGAGAGTTGATGATTTATTAAAGACCAAGACGCACCAAAACACGACAAAACCTTGTCATTTGGTGGGAAATGTAAACTAAACAGGTTAAATAAGACTGTTGATTTTTTTTATCGATTGAGTTGAATATCGTTAACACAATGTTAAAGTTATTACTACAAATAATGATGTTATGTGTAGTTTGAAACATAAAATATTAGGAAAACTAGTTCTTTGTTATGTTTTTGTACAAAATAAAAGCAAGTACATCATTTTATCACGTCACATTTATATTTGTCATGGTTATTGCATTTCTTGGACCTTGTTTTCATATGTTGTTTGTATGTGTTGCAAGTGATGTAAAATCATGTTCAAAATTATTCATCTGTCCAAAAAAGTATCAGTTTTAATACTTGTCTGAATTTCAATGTATGGGTTTGCACTTAATTTCTTATTGCTTTACAAATAAATAAGAAAATATTGTACGGGGTTTTTATAGTTATTCTTATGTACTAGCATTTAAAAATTACATACAATTCCTTATTATGTGTAGACATTGTGCAAACAAATAGTTACACAAAAACTGTTAAGCAGTCCGCTTTTAAAATCTACTAAGTGCCATTCAATTTGTGTTTTGGTTTGCTTTAAATTTGATACGTATAACTTTCATTCAGTGGCAAGTTTTTAAGACATTATCACTTTAAAAAAATACAGGGCTTCATTTTTGAAATTTGGATTATTATTGAGACAAATTCCTTGTTTCTTAACCAATTTCCACAATCAAAGTGCCGATGAATTACGAACTTTTATTACTTTGATAGCAATTTGTATCGCTAACTTTTCTGTTTAACATAAGGTAACACGTAGACCCACCATTACAAAAAATATGTTTCCGACACAGCTGCGTGATAACAGAAAGTGTTGTAGTGTTGTAACAGTTGACGCTGCCCTATTGGGAGGTGGACTATGTATTGTCGGGTTATCAGGGGCAAATGACACCGTTTGACATCCAGACCTGCGGTTCTAGGAAATCTTCATACGTCAATGGATCATCCGCTACAGGCGTGACAGAAAACAATATGCGAACGTCTTGCGTAACACCCTGTAGTGCGGCGGACACAGTATACTTCGTTCACAATATTTAGGCGGTTTTAGGGTAAGAAATCTACCCCCTCTACTTCACCGTTACCTTTAAAACCATAGCTCAACAGCTGATTAAGTGGTGAGGGGACTTCCGCTTAAACCAGCTAAACATTGTGAGCGAAGTATAGGTACTACAGGGCCATACGGGGCTATAACATGGTAAAACGTTAGAAGTTAATATTAGGGAAGTAAACAAGATAGGATCTGGTAGCGTTGTAAGGGTAGTCAATATAATTTTATAAGCGCAGTATGAAGTATCGAGTAGTATAAACAGGGTGTATTGAGGTTTTGAAATTTTTCAAAAAAGTGTTTTTTTTATTAGCTGTTTGAATTTAGAATGCCCAATTTTTATCATTATATCCATTGTATATCTTCCAAAAAACAAACAATTTTGTGTATTGAAGAATTGTTTTAAAATCAAAGGTTATGAGGAGAATACAAAAACTGAAAATAAAAAAAATACTATATTATTCTTATAGAGAAATTGTGAACTGTTGTAGTTTGTTTATGTATATATTTTTATCAAATTTGACAAATTTTACATTACATCCAATAGGCAGTTCATAGTATGTAATTAACACTTTTGCTCTTCCCCTTATTAGCAAACCTATGTTCTCGCTAATCTTCTATATGGGGAATAAATATGACTTGTTTAAGGACATATTTTCGTCAAAAATCCCATCAGATTGAAATTAGCTTATTCTGCAGGTTTGCTGCTTTGAAGGTATTTGCACCCTACATTTTTCGACTCCTGAACATAAGACAAACATTCACAACCTCGACCCCAAAGTTTCCCCGACTTGACGCTTTCCCCGTGTCCCTCACACGCACTCAACAATGAGACAAGCACATAATTGGTCCGTTTGAACCCTATAATTCCCCGGTGACCGAGCCGGGTCACTTTGCGTGTTTCCCCTACCTGTTATTATATTATATTTATACCTCAATCGCTTGAAAGAATGGCCCACGTTCCCAAGATAAATTGCCTTTTCATAACCCACCTGCCGCAGTGTGCGGCGCGCCGCCTTGCTTCTGTCAAAATATTTTGATGCCCTTCGACAGTTGTTTGTGGTTGGTTTGTGTATGAACATTTATTAATTATTTTATATCCGGAGTTAACTATCTAAGATTTTCAATATAATGTAGGTAAAATGTAGGCCTACACACACACACCTACAGGAGTTATTTTTTAACTTTTTTTACCTAGGGTCTTCCTAATGGTCAATTAATTGTTTTACGCTTTGAGATATGTCACGATAAACAAATTAACCATTTTAAACAATGAAATTACTCGAACGATCTACTTAGTGAGAAATAATAAATGAAGTATACAAGTTTTGCTTTCCTACTATTATTTGAGTACGTGAAACGCGAGTTATTAACTATCAAACAAAATTAGGTTACGTAAATTTTGATGATTGTGTGCTTTATATGGGTACACTCTGCTTCTACACGCATTTTTCTTAATTTTCCACACGAAATAGTATACGAAATCAAATATTTACAAACAACTAGAAAATACATGAGTTTGTTTTCAACCTAATCCCTCGATATGAAAACACCCAAGTACAACGTATCCATGCTAAAACCTCACGGTTCAAGTACAATAATAACTGTGATTAACTTGGAAGCATAAGTCATAATGTGCTCTATAAACCTAACAGAATCCGATTTCCCCACCTTCCAACACGTATAACATTTTTAAACACATGTACGATTCCCAACTAGATAAATTTCAACGAAACCACCCAACTATATCGAGCTGCAAACAAAATTTCACACGTAACCGATCCGACGGTAAACGAATGAAATTACTGTGAGAATTCCACGTTCTCGACATCTGTAAGTAACAGTAGAAGTGGTGAAGTGGTGAATTTGTGAAGTGCTGAAGTCGGAGCTTCGTTTGGAAACCGAACACCCCGGAGCAAGGCTCTTAACCCCTTCGCTAATGGTGATTCGATTTGACCAACGTGGCCAAACACTACGTGACCCTGGGGAGTATTTGATTGGGACGTGACAAACTGACGGCGATCGGTGGAAATTGTCGCGAGAGAAAAGAATTGTATGACTTGTCTCAGGAAAATATGTCGAGGAGAATTTCTCTGGACAGCGAAAAGTAGATTTAGACCTATACAAGTTTTTTACGATTGTAGAAAGTGCCAGTTAGGTTTTTTGAATCCATAATATTACACATGTTGCATAAGTGATGGATATAAAATTAAAACAATTCGATATTTTATCACTGCACTAACATCGTATTTCATCGATATATACCACTTAATGGACCAATAATGCACTTCTAGTTTAAACAAGGCAGAATAAATAATAAACAGTAAGCTTGTGTTTCTCATACAAGAGAATAAATTGATACTGCGGGCCGATTTCAGGCTTTTATATGGTAAAATATTACTCAATGTGTTATGTGTTTGGGTAAAGGAACGTTGAACAATCCAAGATAACTTCACTTTGTACATGACATTTAATTGGATTAGTATATTTTAGTAAGCAGTTTGACCAAATGTTTCAACTCTATGCTAAAGCATTTTTCAATGTTCATTTAGGTTTTAAGTTATGTAATTATGTCATTTAATTTAGGCTAGGTGATTAGAGTGGGCGTTACGTTAAATTATTCAAGGTTATGTTATTTACCTGTTTATGTGTATGTTAAGCTAAAACAATGTACCTGTAAAAGAGGTAAAAACCAAATGGCTGTTGGAAATTATCCTTTCAAACAGCTTAGCCTTTAACTATAGTTATCCAACAGTCAACGGCTTATCTCAAAATAACTTGAAACATGCTAAAAATTAATGTTCATCCTACAGCCTATAACTTAGTTAGGTTAGTTTACCTGTAGTATGTAGCCTCGGGCGTAGTCCTCATGGCTCCAGCCGAAGCCCCGGAGCACTTGCAGGACCTCCTCGCGCTGCAGGACGCTGAAGAGTCTGTCCAGGAGGATCTTGAGTCTGATGGGGAGCGCTTGGCACCCGTAGAGGACCAGCGAGGCGATGTCAAAGGCGACGTTCGGCTGTACAGGCTCCACAGGACTCTGGCCGAACACGTGGCGGAACCCCAGCTTGTCTAGAGCTGCAACAGAAACAAAAAGTTAGTTTGCGGTTGAAAATAGGGGGAAAATATATTTTTTCATAACAGGGTTGCGTGGTTATGTTAATTTCTACACCAGTGTAATTTTTTCAATCAGGACACCAACACTGTAAGGGAAAGCAGTTAAAGTTCCTCATACTATCTCGAATATGGTGGGGATCGAACCTGGTAGATCTTGCACCGAAGGTCCGAAACTCCTACCACTATAGTCTGTTTGATGGAACCTGTCTCCTGTTCCTGGGGACTAGCCAATAGTTTAAGGCCTGGACTAGTCCCAAGAAACGAAGGCTCAGGAGACAGGTACCATCATACAGACTATATACACAGCCATACCTAAAAAAGCGTTTTTATTCCACATAAAAAAAATCTTCTTAACAGTGAATCGCCACTAAATGTTAAAAAACTTCACTCGTATGGAAGAAATTTTTATGAATATGAAAAATCCATAAAAATATTTATATAAAAACGCATTGGACTAAGAGATAGAGTAACGCAAGATGTCACGGTGTCAAAAACATCGATGGATTATTTTTGTGAAACTTTCCTCGTGTTAATGTTTCTGTTGAGAATGAGTATTATTATTGTTGGAACATATCTAAGTTAAGTGAGCTATCCCAGTCTAAAACTGCGAATTAGTCAGATTGCGTAGAATGTGAATATATAGACTTATCTTATTTCCTTTACACCAACAAGTGCAATTAATTCTACTTAAACCAAAACAATGTCATAAGTTTCCAACTTGATAATAAAACACAAAACCAACTGTATACGACCTCAAAAGCGTGTACGGCACTTGGTCGAAACACAAGCACACTGAAAAAATTAGGGGTGACAGAGACAGAGGGCACTCGACGTATTAGACAAGTGTTTTGTAATATTTACAGGGTGTCACTCAATGATCGCATCAGTTGGACGTTCGTCAAAACAAAGACGATATCTGTTCAATCTTTCATACGACACTTTGACAAAGGTTCCGCCTTATATATTCATGAAGCCTTAATGTCGTTATGACCACTTCATCCACTTGATTAATCATTTGCGTTGAAGAGTTCGGACAACATTTACTACTCGTAATCAATTGATTAGTTTATTGATTAGAATTAATTGTGTGCGTTGATTAGACTAGGTTTTAAGGTGGTTTAGTAATGAAGATTAAAATATTTTGAAGATTTGCTCTGGAGATGTTTAATTTGTGTGAAGATTCTGTGTAATTTTTTACCACGTGGTTATAAAAGTTAATAATTCTTGTAGGTCAATCGATTTGTTCTTTGGATGAAAATAGTTTACTGTATTTGGGTCAAATGTGAGCTCGAATTTTCCAATTCCGACGTACTGTATTGTGATACAAAGTTTGCCATACCATAGTGATAAAAGAAACATAAATGTAATTATGATCTAAAGAACTAATACAATGAGAAGCAAAATTAGTAATCTTAGTGTGATCAAAATTATGAAAAAGTTTTAAAGTTATCTAGGTCTCTACCGCACCACATAAAGATCCTAATACTTTTCCTGGGTTTTAACGATGAATTTAACACGTAAAACATAAAATTTAACTCACACTCTACGCTACAACCATGACTTCCGCAGCAAATCATCCAGAAGCACGTAGATGCAAAACAAATCTTCCGAAATAAATTCGACGCTCACGTTCACTTTCGCAGCGTTTTCGCGATCGTATCGGCGTCGGCGATGGCGATAGCGTCTGTTAGCGTCGAATTAGCAATAACCGCCTGAGCGATGAGGGCGATCCGGCCGAATTCGAGCGGCTCCTCCTCCCCATAAAAGCGAATCGCTGCAGTTCGCAGTTACAGTCGATCGCTTTGATTCCGGCGCGACCTTTGGTCGGAGCTACTTTCCACCGGGACCGGTTTGTGATTGTGGTTGTCAAAACCGATCTGCGCGAAAGTCGGCGTGAGGTCGCAGGCCAACGTGTCTGAAGAGACGAGTTGGTATAGTCTGTGTGACGGAACCTGTCTCCTAACCCTCTGTCTAGCTGGTACTGCACGGTGTGAGGTCGCAGGCCAACGTGTCTGAAGAGACGAGTTGGTATAGTCTGTGTGATGGAACCTGTCTCCTGACACTGTCTACCTGGGACTGTACGGTGTGAGGTCGCAGGCCAACGTGTCTGAAGAGACGAGTTGGTATAGTCTGTGTGATGGAACCTGTCTCCTGGCACTGTGTCTACCTGGGACTGCACGATGTGAGGTCGCAAGCCAACGTGTCTGAAGAGACGAGTTGGTATAGTCTGTGTGATGGAACCTGTCTCGTTACCCTCTTTCTACCTGGGAATGTCCAGGGCCTTAAACCATTGAATAGTCTCCTGGTAGACGGAGAGTCAGGAGACCAGGTTCTATCAGACAGATAGTGGTTAAAACATCGACCTTTTTACTAAAAGATGTTTTTACTTTAAATCTTTTTCGTTGAAATGTCTGGACATGGTTTTTCTGAGTCAACTCTCAATCGTAGGCCCGTTTATCTATAGTTAGTTGTATAGTTGCTTCAAGAGATGATACGTGCTCTGAGAACTAAAATACAATATTCTCTCCCTGCACCTAAACAATAACAACATTAATTCAAACCCACTAAAAAAATCCTCCATGCAAATAATCCTGCCATTACTGCACCAAATGGATTTTCACAACAGCTGATAATCCCGTGTTAAAAACCTTCCTGTGAGCTTTCATTTCGCGAGGGAATTACATTTTTGGACGTCCGAGCGCAGTTGTGCCCAGTTGTTGATCATTTCGGCGTTGACTGTTGATTGATTTAGCTGTTTACTCCCACTAATCCGGCGATATGATTGGTTTATTGTTTGCGCATACATTTCGCCAGCCACTGCAGTGGAAACATTGATTAATGACCGGAAAAATATTACTGTCCAAACATTCACGGATTATAGTGGGAACATCACGTTTGTGTGGATTTTATTTGTGCGAGATCAACTCTGTATATTTCACAGTTTGGGAAGGTGTTTAACGAAATTGTTTACTCGTTTTCGTTCTATATATTTTACGTTTAAGTTCAATTATATATAACAAAAACTGTATCTAGAGTGTTTAATTGTTTGCATTATTATCACAGACAAATTAAAAACTATTTTCAATTCACAAAGTATTATGAATCAACAGCTGAGGTTTGCCAAAACGTCAATCAGCTGCAAGCAAGTGCATTAAGCAAAAAAATAATGGAGAAAAAGATACTATAAACCAGGTTCAGGCCCATACGAATCAACATTTCTATATTTTTTGTAAATATATAAAATTGTATTTGCTTTTTAACCATCAGAAAACTGAACTGTCCTGATGATTTAATTGTTACTGCAATCCTGTAGTGTGGATTATACAAATTCTAAACAAAACCATTGCATAGACTGGTCTAAATAGTCCCAATATTTGGTTAATACATTCAATATAGAACGTTGTGTGGATCCGTGATGATTGTACACGTATATTTGCGTAGATTTGCTGTAAACAAAATGCTGCAATTCCAAACAAACAAGAGAATTGTTTGCGTTTAGTTTCAGTTGCAGAAGGCAAACAGACGTTAGATCGAAATTGGAATGACATTTAAAAATTGATTTTGCATCATTGATTGAAACCTAAAATCAGTGCCCTTTAATCTATCATGTAGTAGTGGTGTAATATATAGTCAAGTTATGTCCGTGTACCTACCTGTCGTTATATAGTTATAGTACAAATATAATGATCTTTACTCACTTACTTCATGTACAATATTGATGCAAACAAATGAATTTTACCTATTGAAGTGATAGTATTTATAAATTTCTTGTATATGTACTGTGTTATGTACACTGCATACAATAATAAATTAACTTTGACCTCTATAGAAACTATTATGACACATAGGTTTTATGTGTAACTAAATAAATTGTACTATTAAGCTAGTCAAAATGGTGTTTGACCTTAGAATCAGCTGATGTTAGAAACAACACTTTTACACATATTACAGAGTTAGTTAGCACCATCCCTTTATATGCGTTTAATTACGCCTGTTTCTCCAAAAGTTATACAATATAGCAGTAAGGGAGTAGCGTTAAACACAGATACACATTTTACCAAAGTAACTAACACTTGAGCAAACCCTTTGCGATAATGAATTTCCCACAAAGACTGTATTTTTCTCCATGACCATTTAGAAATTCAATGATTCCGACCCCTAAGCTCTTGCCTGTGTTCTACACTACCTAATGGTCATGACATTATCACTTGGATAAAATCCATATTTGGTGATTGAACCCGAAACTTCATGCACCGAAGTCCCGCACTCCCCACTACACTCACCCCCCGAAATATTCTTGCTACAACCACGTTAAAGGTCACTTCACCCCACCTCCAGCTCACATTACAGGGTGTCCTAGAAGCTGCGTGTCCAGCAAGCGGTCACTCATTGTATGATAACTAGAGAAACCACAGACCTCGCTGATAAGATGGTATCAGTTGTAGGAGGTATTTGCATTTTATCCTCGATCGCAGTCTTTGTCCACTCACAATGGAGTGATTACCCCGGAGGTCACGAACACTGGACAAGACGAATTCGGTCTATGGGAAACTTGCAAAACTCCGAGTGTAGGCTACGATATAGGTGGTCTAGTATAACACTGGATAAATAAGACATTGTGAAAACTTGGAGTTAAGTGCACTTTAGGTGGTCTTAGGTTAGGTTGTAAGACTGGGAATTATGGAAAATAAGTCTCAACACGATAAACATATTAACACTGTTGACTCACAAGTCGGTAAATACATACAAGATGGTAAGTGGTGATCGATTTCAGTTGGACACTCCAATCGTCATCAGGGCCAAAAGGCAAATAAGTATGATGATTGGAATATCCAATAGAAATTGATCACCACTTACCATTATTTTACCGTTTTTTTTGTTTTTTTATCAACAGTATAAGTGTTAATACTATATCTTTTATGTTATTAGACGTATTTTGACTTACTTTCCGTAAATTTAGT